GGATATTCTCTATGCATGTGCGAGATAAAAATTTTAAACTCAGCTCTCTAGCTCCCCAACCACAGCTTCAAGCAGTTCCTCAACTCAAAAATTGTTAGCAACTCTGTGTGCAAATGAACATGGATTTTTTGAAAAACGACTGTACGAGCATACTTCCAATTTTTCATGAATTGGGAATTTGCATTTTTTCAAAAAATTTGCATTTGCCATTTTTTCACAAAGCGAGCATCTACCGAAAAAAATGTCCGGACTTCATGCAGAAAACCGGTATTCATGCACCTGTATGTTCGTGCGATTCTATAATAATGCACCACCTTTAACCCAATTGACGCCCTTCCTCCTACATGCCGGAAGGGGCCAAAGCACGGTCAGTATGAACCCAAGTGTTAGACTACAGCGTAGGGATCATTCTTACTAATAGCGATCTGCGAGTATAGTGCAAAAACGCATAATCGCACCGGAGAGCCTGGTGCCAGCCTGGGTTTAGTTAAGGTTTCGGGTGTTCAAGCACAAGTCTGTTAGATTTCACTCATCATTTTAATTTCTTGCTTAGCGTCGAAAAACTACATAAATCCCTCTCCCTTCTTTCCCCTCATAACACCCATTCCGTCTCGGGTCCTTACTGCCGTTCAAGGCCTCAGCTGCTTGACCGTCAGGATCTCAGTACTCTATTTTCGATTATAATCTTTACAACCTAAACGAACATACCGGATTTTTGACCCTCTCAGTCTTGTTTATTCAAGGAGGCATTTCACAGCCATCATAATCGGCCCCTTACCTGGCTTAGCCTGGTTCTACAGCCTGGTTCTACAGCCTGGTTCTACAACCTGGTTCTACAGCAACTTTAAAAAAAAATCGCTCCGCAAAGTGTAGTAGTGATAGTTTTCTTTGTGAAAAGTGCTAAGTTCACGGAGGTTCCTTACACTTCACGGAGAAGGCTCATTACACTTCTACAAGATCACGAAGAAGGCTCTTACACTTCTGCAAGCAACATTTGATGTATCCGAAAGTGATACAAGCAGTGCTCAGATAATATTTTTATGCTCACTAGTTCGTATATGAATAGCAAATATCTTCATAAAAATGCAGCTGCTCAGTCAGTCTTTTTACCGAGTTAAATAAATGCCAGTAGTATTTCAGTTGGAAACGTCACTTGCTCAAACGCAAAATCTAGTTTTATATTGAAGATATATTTGGAATTTTTGAGTCGCATATCGACATCAAATATTCTCGGAAAATTACAGCTTTCTAGCAAAATTGTTTCTCGAAATCGCTCTCCGCCAAGATTATCTTTGACATGCCCGTAAGCATAGTAAAGGCGTGTGCTAAAACTCGTTTTGCATCTGCCGACTCGCACATGCGTAGCAAATGTTCTCGTGCAAACAAAGTTCATTTTCCGAGTCGGAATCTTGCTAACGGCGTCTATTTTAAGCACTGCGCGTTCGTATGACATAAGCGTACATTAAAGCTGAATTTGAAATCTTTGAGTGGAATTTTACATAAAAAATTCCTGCAAAATTTTAGCTTTCTGTCTTGTTGGGTTTGTGAAATCATTTCTTTGTTAAAAGTTTTCATGTTTTCCTCGCAAAATTCCAGCTTCCTGGCTCTGTAGTTGCTGAGTTGAAAGTGAATGACAAAAACCAAACACATGCGTACCGGCAACCATTCGACAATGTGCTTTTCATTTGTATTACATCAAATGCGTAAAAACGCAGCATTCAAATTCGGGGCAAAAAAGCCAAGATCTAAACTGACAGACAAACTTCGCCGTTCTCCTAATTTTTAAAATTCAGTGACGTATAGAACTTGTTGTTCGCTTGTTTTCTAAAGTATTTTTTTGTATTTAATAATGGAGAAGCTGAAATATTTAGTTGCGGTCATCTCTTTCACGAGAATATCTCGTATCTGAGCGATCAGGCAATCGAAAACCTAAAACGACCACCGCAAAGCGCCTATCTGTCGGTATGTGGTGTTTATTTTTGCTGTACTATTGTGGCGCTGATGATCGTGCTCCTCTTCCTGAACTCGCTACGCAAGGATGAAATCGCCAGGTTACTGAAAACTGTCCTTGAAAGCTGAAACGGCGCAGATGCTCACCAGAAATTTAATGCTAATACAAACAATTTTCTTAGAAATGCAGTGGACTGGGATCTGGTGCCAACAAGGTTGCCACTGGAAAGGAGAAATACACGGATTTTTTACGTATTCTATTTGACTGTGTGTATGTTTGTTAGGCGTTTTTGCAAATCTTAAAGTGCAGTAATTGGCCACGCACGGGCTGCTCTTGCGGAGATGCGTTTTTTGCATAGTTCTCCGCAGCTTTTGACGGTTTTTCAGACAAATGCTTCTAGCTAAACAAATTAAGACTGGCCGCCAGAACTGTCAAGAAACACTCCCTTAAAATTTTAGCTTTTTAGCTTTCCTGGCTCCTGAGTTAGCAACTTACTCGAAAAAAACTTTCATGGGCCCGTACGTAGGTACCACGCATGCCCGATGCTTGGATTTGAGCTCCTTGAGACTTATCTGAAAGGGGAAATCCCCTTAAAATTACAGTCTTCTAACTTTTCAGGTTCTCAAGTTAACGACTTATTCGAGAAAAAATTTGGTAAGCCTGTGCGTGGGTACTACGCATATCCGAGGGTTGGGTTGAAGCTCATCAAAACTTGCATAGGCAGGGAACGTCCTCGTAAAATTTCAGCTTTCTAGTTTTTCTGGTTCCCGAGTTAGCGACTTACCTGCGAAAAACTTTCACAGGCCCGTACGTGGGTACCACGCGAGTAAGAGCACCCATTTTGGAGATGGGGCCTCGTACACGCATGTAGATTAGGTTTTTGCTTTTGTGCCTCTCGAAATGAAAAATCGGTACAGACGCGTAGCGCACACACAGACAACCTCTCGTCAATATGCGTTTTCTGCACAGCATAGCTGCAAACTTAGAAGAAAGTTACAAACATCTGCCAGGAAGGACGTGCCACTGGCGAAAAAAACCTGCGAGGGAAACTGTACAAAAAACGCATCCTCCTGTCGGCACGAGGATGCGTTTTTTGTACAGTTTCCCTCGCAGGTTTTTTTCGCCAGTGGCACGTTCTTCCTGGCAGATGTTTGTAACTAGAAGAATTGGGACTGGCCACCACGACTGTTAGAAATTATTACAGTAACTCCCAATCCACGCCCAAAAAATCCAGCTGGATGCTTCAGTTGCAGAGTTACGTCAAATTTCACGTTTTCGTACGTGAGTGGCAACGTGAATGCTTTCTTCGCCCACAGTTGCTCAAACACGGTCCTGGGTAGCGCTCAGAAAGTTTCAGCACTCTAGCTGCTCTGGTTGCA